ACACTATTGTCTAAATAGGTACTCAAGCGCCACTTATTTTAAGTCGCGCTTTAGTAGTTCTGTCACTACAAATTCTTTGTAAAATGATAGAGATAGCACGATATTTAAATACAACTTAAAATTGAGTAACCTTCCAGTATTCAGGCATACACACCTACATACAAAACTGAACCTTATGTGATTGGAGTTAGATTTAGATGCCATACAAAGTAAAAACCAACGATCTCAACCAATATAATATTTATATTTATTAATATCAACAAACAGGAGACAGGCGTGCGGTTCTGTAGGTATGTAATATTAACAGATACAAAAAACGTAGAAACAGGCTTAAAACTACTAATTCTAACCCTGTATTCTAAACCCAGACAGCAACAATTCATAAGCACGTAGTAACGAGTTACCGAATGTACCCGCTCCGTTTGCACGGCACGGTAAATAACTGTAAATACGGAAACCACTAGGTTACCTAGACTAACTACATTGTAACCTAGGTTAGTATGCACGATACGAAGCACTAAAGTGTAAGTTACTTTATCACGGGATCAGACGTGAAATTCAGTGTTAATTATAAATCTTAGACTGTTTTAACGGGTCTTTAGAAGATATTAAGCTACGTAATAGATGAAGGTACTTTATTAGTGGTCGTGTCAAGTGGTCGAAAGGGCAACTGGTGAAAAATTGGTTCCGGATTTGATCCTTGAATTGGACGAGGTATAATTGTGATTTTAATTTCAGTATTTTTTTATTTTAGTAGTAGCTCAGAGTATATCTATAAAGGTCTTCAGTTAAGTTGGTTTAAGATGACAGCATATTATTTTAATCTATGAATTTGTATGAACAAATCGTAGGCTTGTTTTAAAAAGATAAAGTTTAAAATTAAGAAAAAGTTATATAGTTAATAAAATCACTAAAGAAAATAGTCACAAAGTCCAAGTTAAGAAACAGACGATAAAATTTACAATTCCGTGTGTCAGTTCGGCTGCACTGGACAAATAGTAAAACTCTTCCGTGCGAGTCGGTGCGCTGAATTCAAATGACGTAAACAAACAAACACACCGCACATATCGATATATACTGACTTACTATTTACTTCGGGTCGGGCAAAGTATTACTGGGTTTTTAAAAATCTCAGTAGTAGCACGGAGTCTGGAAATGTGCTCGGTATATGGCAATAGGCTCCCTATTACATGGGACTCATTTCATAAATAGTGAAAAGTGGGTGTTACTTGCACAGTGGCATTAAGTGCCGAAATGTGCACCTCTACCCCTTCGGGGATAAAAAGGCGTGATGTTATGTTATTTAACTTCTACATGGCTCCTAAGCTATTTCTCAAAAACACAATTTTTCTGTATAATCAGTGTTAGTTCGGACTTTGTATAATTATCAAAGTTTATATACTCAATTTATTTTCTTCTTTTGCATAAAGCTGGGTGAAAATCACTTTACAAGCAATATGAAATTGAATAGTGATGTAAGTAGGTAATTGGTTTTTGTGAAAATAACGTAAAGTAGAACTACTCCTGTTATTCTCGAAACTGGAGACTTCTGGAATAACATATTGCAGAAAATCTCCTGATTCGTGATATTCCTCAAAACTACTTTCATATACCCCATGTTCACGGGGCTTCACGCTCACTCATTGGAGCCAAAATGGTCCCGTACAGTTCGGTTTCAGAGGAATTTTCTCCCACGAACGCTCCGATTGTGGAATGACCTCCCTGCCGTGGGTTCCCCAGTGGGCTACAACATGAGGTTCTTCAAGAGGGCAGTGAATAGGTTTCTTAAGGGTAGGCGAGACCCATGTAATGCCCCAAGTATTGCAGGCGTACATAGGCTACGGTAACCGCTTACCATCAGGTGGGCCGTGTGCTTTTTTGCCACCGTCGTGGTATAAAAAAAATACAATTGCAGAAATCGAAATAGGTACTACCTGGGTAAATTCTGATCACTCTCAAAATTCTTAAGTATATATTGTATAGTCTATGTTCCTAACGTTGTTTTCCCAACGCAAATAGCTTGTATAATTGTTTTATAATTAGATGAATACCCCAAAAAGAAATACAAAATACAAAAAGTATTGTACTGTAGTGAAGTTTAGTATGACAGTGTTGTTATGGTGACGTGAAATTGATTCCCGCGACGTCACCTCTCGCGCTCTCTGCCTGATCACTCATTCGCGATATCCAATTTGTCGGAACTACTCCAAAACACAGCAATCCGGTTCCTCAGTGAAACACAATTAGTGACGCACCGAAGCTTTCACGTGTTTTTTTCTTTGCACCGCAAGCTGACCCAAATTGTCGTATTGTCGAGCATATGATTTGATTGACAGAAAATCGATTCAGTTTTAATTAGTTTCCGAGCGAATATTTCTATTTAGCTTTTGTAAAAGGATTGTAGGAATTGATTGAGGATAAAACGTGTTATTCCTATCTAGTTTTCTAAACGTTAAAAGCAAAATACAAGATTTTTACATACACTTAACAATTTAAATTATTGTAAAAATGATTGAAAATGTTAGGTATAGCCAGACTGATTCACGAGTACGAGTAGTCACTTGATAAACGACAACAGATTTGTAAATTTCTGTAAAACCATACATGGTGGACATAACAGTGCAAGTTTATTATATTTAGTTTTAATAACTTGAACTGGAAATGTCATCAGTAGTAGTCATTTCAAACTTTGAACTAGAACGCATAAGTAGTTGCTTACTTCCAAATTAGGATATTTTATATCAAACCTTTTTTAGCATAAAAACTTCGAGGAGGGGAGTTTTAGGAGAGGAGATATGGAGAGGAGATATGTCTGTCTTGTGAAGCTGTTTATCAGTTGGCGGCACACTTTCTCACTACTCCACTAACTTGTTTTCAGTAAGTATGAAATATAGTGCTGAATGTCTGTGTACGCCACGCGACAACGCAACGCTTCGCTCAACACTACTGTTGTTACACAACTGTATTTAATAATAGTCCTTATATTTTACACGCGTATGTGTACATACTATTGTACCTACTTACTAGGTACAAAGTACCTAATTATTAAGTTGGTCAATAGTTACACTTCGTAGGGTTTACAAGACTTACACTCTTTCAGACTCTCTCACTCTAAACTATTGGTAAGCGAAAGTGGAAAAGAATGCTTGGTAAAACTTGATTTAATCCAGAATTTCTTACTTCTTTTACAAGTACGAATGGGCCGGCTCGACCGGAGTGGTACCACGACCTCACAGAAATCCGACGTGAAACAATGCTTGCGTTGTGTTTCGTCGAACCTGCTACACCTTGCGCGACAGCCGGTTGCCCAGCCATTGCGCCTACCGTGCAGTCAAAGACAAAATCCTGGTTCTTACTAGTTGTCCACATTCTATCTAATAATTAATTAAACAACGACCTTTTATATTAAGTTACTGAATTACAATAAATAAATGTAGGAATGAAAAATAAAGCTAGTTCAAATAAAATATTCATAACCGACTGACAATAAGTTGGTAAACTAAAAACTTCATGAATAAAATTGTTACAAAAACGTCACTGTATTCACACGAGCTTTTCTATACCTACATGAAAATTCTAACAAAGGGTAGTTAGACTCCACAGATAGAAAGAGTCTGTTTATTTAGAAGTTTCTAGAAAATATATAAACTGCAGCGCAACTCGTGTCGATGGTGCAGAAAGGTGGTTCACTGTATAAGTGAGTAAAGTCCAGGAAGGACTATCAGTCGGCTGTCAGCCTACTGGCTTGTTGTTCGAAGTTGAGCAACTTTCCCTCTTCACACGAAATCGACGCGATGAATTATGCATGAGAATTAAGTTTGACGGCAGATAAGCGGCAGAAAGATTTATTTGCCGATATGATGTGTAGAAAACAATCCAACTTGTTCCCACTTTCTGAATTATGGTCGTTGTTTTATTGTAGGCACGTCAAACGTTTACTAAGTTTTGGACAGTTACCTTAAACTTTATTTACGGTTTTTCTCGGCTATAGAAATGCATCGGTACGCAAACATTATAATCTTTGTCAGTGACGATATATGGAGAGTGTAAATCACTAATATTCTATTAGGGTATTGTGTATTTATCATTTCTAAAATGTCACACAAACACGGAATCGGTATTGTGGCGGTGTAGCCTTTTATCAGAGTTACGCACGCTCTTACAGGACCTTCCCGGAAATTTAACTTCGTTAAGAATGAAATATGCCCCGTCGTTATTCCACGGCTTGTTGCGCGAATACTTACATTTCGAGCTCTCCACCTCTAGTTTTCTCATCAGACCCAACGGAAATAATTTCAACCGAGACTGAATTATGACAAAACTCCGACGGACATTGCCGCATCCGTAATGAGAATGAAGTCAGATATGTCCGTAATTTATTATCACATGCTCCGTGAACGTGCAATTCACTCTGGAAAATTGACCGTTTTTTATTTAACTATAAATTATATTTGCGATAGTTATTTGTGTATTGAGGGAACAAGCTCATATTCATGACCAGCGCTAAGCGTTTACAATGTAGCGGCAGAGAGCAATAAAGCGAGCAGTAGATAAAGTGAAATAGTAGGTAGGTGGGGTACAAGGAAGTATTTAATTAAATCTAGCGGCGGGGGCTCCAGGCCGCTTTACATCACCACCGCTAATCACAGGTAGGCCGTCGACACGTTCGCCTATTTGAATACCAAACTGTTATTTTGTAAATGCCAGAAAACTCATTAACCACTGCTTGGTTAAGCAGTCTATGGTTGTTTAGCTATTACACCTGTAAATTAATTGTGGTACGTTTGCATTTTGGGTGTATTCTAAGATTTTGTAATAAAAGACTACATTTTAAGCTACAACATTTAGTTTTATCCCTAGCCACGGTTCTAGGAGTTATTTTTGCAAACAAAACTTTTTGAAACGCAAAACTCAATGAAACTTCTAAATGTCAGTTTTGGAGAATTGTCTATTTTTTCTTATAAATTAAATGAAATGTGACGTTTCCGCTGAATATTGTTTTATAAAAAGTATATTTTAAATATGAAGAAAACTGATGTTTTTCGTACATTAGAGAAAGGTGAACGTGTAACTAGCGTATATGCACAAACTTACTTGAATGATGATTATTGTGAATTCAAGAAGCCAACTGAGAAATCTGACCGGGTCTCGGAACCTGAAAAACCGGGCGCGGAAGATGAGTGGATCTCTCCTAGTGACTTATTAATTGGTATTGTAGATTTAAAACCCCCTTTTACCTCAAAAATAACAAGAGGCATTACTCACCAAGGCATTCTAGATATAGGCAATGATGTATTAGAAAGAGAACGTGTCAGATTTTTAAATTATATGAGTAACGTCATCAGCGAAAATGATGCTGCATGGAATTATATATTGGAACATGAAAAATCTTCTGTAGCAAAAAAAGTAAAAGCTATCTATCATGATATTTTAATGGACAAAAGTAAAACTTTATTGAAAGAAATAAATATATTTTATGAACAAAGTTTACAAGAACTTGAAGATCACCTAAGGTCTGAAGTGCAAAACGTATTGGTAACTGCACATGCTAATATTATCAGTGATCTCAATTTTGAAATAAGAGATAAACTGAAGAAAGAAAGACTCATTTTAGAAGATGTTCTACAGAAAAGGTTTGATAGTGAAATAGAAAAAATAACTCACTATTATAAATTACTTCTAGATAATGAAATTTACAGAAATCAAAAACTAGTCAATCAAGCAATATTCGAAAGAAATGATGCCCTTAAAGCTTTCTATAAGCAGATAGAAGCACAAAACATTACGAGTACTATGTATGTTATGTGCACGGAACGAAAGAAATGTAAGATACGAAAGTTTCTTCTAGAGAATATTCATAGTACTGAAATTGCTGAAAAACTACAAAAAATTAAAGAACGTCAGGAAATTATTGATTCTTTCAAATCAAAGGAAAAGCAAATATCTGACATTAATAAGGAATGGGAAATCAAAATAAAAAAGATACTGAAACTGTTTTTAAAGTTCGTCAGTTTTAGTTTGAAACTGCTACCTGAACAAACAACATTTTTGCTTGATTTGGAGAAAATGGTTGTCTTACAATTGAATGAAATGCAAAAAGCGCCTATGAAAAATACTTCCATCTTAATTGATGATAACGATGAAGAGAATATTTTAGAATTTGAAAAGCCTAAAGAGGAAGATATCGTTTGCGATAAAGAACCATTTGTAATTGAAGGTGATTTAAATGATCCAGTTCCACCACAATATGGTAGTAGAGAAACCTTAGCATCAGATGTAGAACTTCCTTATATAAGACTTCAGAGGAAGTTTATATATGCCAAGTGTGGTAAAATGGATGAAGTAAGGGCATTTCTAGAGTCACAGAGATGTAAGTGCCGGGACCCACCTCCTGAAGTTCCCGAACCGGAACTTGAAGAAGAAACTGAAGCTGCTAAGGTCGCTGATGTAGTGGAGGAAGTTCAAAGTGAGGCTTCATCATATGAACCTTTACTATTGGATGATATTGAAATACTTAAACACTGTCCTGTAAGAAAATGCCAAGACTGGGTCAAAAGATATAGTTTTCCGTGGTTGGTTTCCTATTTGGATTTTAGTGAAGAAAATTATGAGAGGGTTAAAACAATACTGGGTAAATTACCTGACCAAGATCCCATTCCAGAACTTATAGATCCCACAGACATAATTAATCAAGAGCTCCCATTCGGCCCTACTAAAGAACCGTTTCATAACGTTGGTACACAATACTCCAGCCAAGACGACGTTTCTATTAATTTTACATGTCCTTGTATGGGTGGTAACAATATGAAAATCAAGGATTCTGAACCCAAAATCAAGATGTCCGAAAGTAGGGAAATTAAAAATATAGTTCTGCAACGGCAACAATCATTCGAACGAGTACTAAATGAACACCCTAAACTGCTGAAACTTTTCACGGATGAAAGTTATGATTTTGTTTATACAATTAAATAGATTGGTACTTATTATATTGCTTACTGAATATTATCTATTTTAAATTTTCCTTCGAATAAATTGTCCATTACTTCTTAAATGATTTTCGTTTGATAGTTCAATAAAGTTAGTACATATATCTAGACACCAATAGACACAATATGTTGGTCTAATTGAACCAGGTGCGAGTATAAACTGCTGACGGAGATCACAAATTACTAGATGTATCCTTGCGGTTACTCATTAAACTCTATTCATTTGTTCTTGTTTGCTATACGGTATCTGCTTACGAAGAAAGTTTGGATGTAGTATACGTAACATTTTGCTATAAATTAACTATTCTACGAAGCTTCGGAGGTAGAGGGAGAGATAAAACTTTCCTGTTACTAATTAATGTTAACAAGTGGACTAATGTTTAAACGTAATAAATATGTGGTTATTCGTTATTGCTCATTAAATATATTAGTTTTACAGATATGCTAGATTTCATGATACTAAATTATTACACGTAGATACGGCACAATTAATAAAATTTAAACAGATTAGAATAAAACAGTGTGAGTGACAAACATATACTCGACAATGATATAAATTAGATCGTTAGCTAAGAATAATGTAGGGACGGGTGTGCTTGGGTATATTGGGTGTTAAGGTAAATTTACACAAGTCCCGTAACAAGTTAACTTATTAAGTCGTCAGCGTGACGACGCGAGACGAGGCGAGGCGAGGCGACGCGACGCGACTCATCGCATTCCTAACGTGGCGCGCATTTAGCATAACATTACTCGTGTCGCCGTATTTAATTATTGTTTTATTAAATGAAAACCGTATTACGCGAGCATAAAGTCAGTGTGTGGTTTGCTGGAGTCTTAGTCCTACTGCGGTGTTAATATCATTAGTTTGTACCTGGCTGTTTATTAGTTTAGTGACTTAAACAATTCGTCATTCGCTTATTCCGCTTTTGTGAAGTTTTAGTTGGAAATTAGCTATGTAGACGACTATCATCACAAGTTTATTCAGTGGAATTTCTATGAACTACTTTTAAAATATTTTATTTAATTTATTTTATTAATGAAAATGCATATACATATCTTCCTAGTTTTTCTATGTAATTATTTAAACTCAGTTTTTGTACAACTGAACAACAAATTAAAGTTACTTCTCTACAAAATTAGTTCAAACAAAATACTTTCATCAAATACATTTCCAAAGTAAACAACATTACAAATAACGAAACAAAGCGTCCAGTTAATTAAACATAAGCTTGCAACGTTGACAAGCAAGTCTTTATATCAAAGCACAATCACAGTACAACAGGTTTGAACAAAACAATCATAATTACGTTTGTTATTAGATTATTGTCAGTGTTATCTATAAATACGAATTCACAATCACAATACCAATGGGACCGTCTGACGACAACCGTCGATACAGCTATAGCTAGTGGTGCACCCACACTGCCAGTTAAAATATTAACAAATATTAATACTTAATTATTTTTAACAGATATTTGATCGATATGTTAAATATTGTTAACATAATTTTCTTTAATTTTAATTTTCCGTCAATGTCACTTAAAAAACGTTCCTATTACATCTTTTGACTTAAATATATTAAGTACATGTATGAAAATGTTTGTTAACATAGTTAACCGTAGTGTAGGAGCACCCTAGTGGTAGCTACGTGTATATTTTCAATACGACAGAGAAAGCTTCGCACTTTAAACTTATCGATACAAGCGAATAGCAATTCAGTTTGTGAAGAACTTGAACGCGATCAATAATTCATTGAGAAGTGTCGGGTTGATTTATAATTTGGTGTAGTATATAATTTCATTGATATATATTTATTACTCCAGTGGTTATGAACTGCATGAAGTAATGGATATGATTCGATAATCAGATAATTTTGTAAGAAGTAAGACATATGCGTTTACTCTGTATTGACCTTTACATACATTTATCATTCTAATGTACTATTACAAATTATTATCAACTATATAGTCATTTAGAAAACATTAAAATATTCAAAGAATTTTTTTCGTTTTCAAACGGATGAGTCAGTGCAATCCGATTTAATTGCCAAATAAAAAAAAATGAGTAAACATAAACAAGTTAGGCAAATATCCTACCCTACAAATAAGAGTCGTTGTACGTAACAATGCTTTTTTGTTTCCAAAGAAAGAAGATAATAAGGAAATAATGCAGTTTAAATACAACAGTAACAGAAGAAGTACTAAAGTCTTAGTTATCGTAACTCGTGCTGTAACTTTTATACCAATTTTACTATCGCCGGGCGAAGTTAAACAGTGTTATGCTAAGTTGACGTTTTGTCATTCCATAATATTGTGTTAAGCGCCAGTTCCCGTGAAATCTGACACAACTGCACCGACTGAATAAACTTACCAACTTCTACGTAAAGAGTTCATTCATCTTTTGATTCCGTTTCTATTTTACAAACTACTTTTCGAGTTAATTTACTTTGGTTCTGTTGCGGCGTACAAACGTGAGTACGGTGATAACGAATGATAAAACGCTTTCGTAAGTTATTATGTTCAGCTCAAATGAGATTTGTAAATGTCTTCGTATCAAAATAAAAGGGTCTCATGATGATTTGATTTACCTACATTTATCTAATAAATGAAGAACAGTAACATTCATCAGATATACCTACATTATGCATCTAAGCACTGTCTATATTTAGTTATTCAGTTAAATTCCTGAAATAATCCACGTCCACGTAACATAACTAAATCTCTTTTGCTCTCCACATGGACATCATCTACTATTAGCTTATTTTAATAATCTTAATACGGTAACTAACGATTTTACGGCTATCCAAAAAAATTTTAATAGTACAAAAACATTAAAATCGAAAAACCCAATCAACGTCTATGTGGTTCGAGGGCCAAATCGTATATTTTGCGCTCAATAGTAACCACGAAATGAACAACAGTCTATATTTCAATATGAACTGTGCACATAACAAAAAATAAAAATACCCAACACAACAGTTATATTTACCGCATCAATTACAATAATTTATACCAACAACATTCGAAAAAAAAGTGGCATAGAGTATTGAATTTATTATCATACACCTCGTTTAGGGAAACCTCTACACGGAGCCACGGGGATATTGCAGCTTTGCAACGAGGGGCGACTGGGGGCGAGCAAGTAGAAACTATTGATCAAACTTCACGACACTGCACTACTAAATCTTACACGTTGAAATATATACCAGGAGGAGTTATATATGTTTGTTTATTTTTCTCTATCCGTTCTACACACGCGTATTACTTCAGCCCACGTGTTCGAAAGTTCTTCGTATTGGTAACTTTTGATATAAATATTGAATAAAGTTAAATTTAGTTCTGTTTAAATCTAATTGCAAGTGCGTCCATGGTGTTTAGTAGTTGAAAATGTGTTAGTGATTTTATACATTTTTGTTTTAAATACGGTTTGTTGTTGTTTTAAAATACATTTTATTCGTGTTTATTGTTTTAGCAACTGATGTTATCGTTGAAATCGTGTTGTAAATAGCATAGCCACGCTGCACCTATGGAAACGAGTCAACAGACCACAGATCTAGCAATAGTATACAAAGGTTTATTTTTTTTTTTCATTTAATTATGGAATAATGTCCTACTACTAATTGAATTTGTCAGAATTTCTTTAAACGTTTTTTGTAATAATTATTATAATAATAGCAAGCCGGTAACGTACTTATAACGCCTCTGGTGTTCCAGGTGTCCATGGGCGACGCCGATTGCTTACCATCAGGTGATCCGTCTGCTCGTTTAGCGGCTTATGCCATAAAAAAAAGAACAGGTACGTGAGTTATACATAAGTGTAATGAGATTCAATTAGGTTCATTGCCTTATTTCTTATTCACAATACTTGTACTGTACATTAACATAGTGATCAATACTGTTACATGTTCCATTTTTATTTGTGATATATTACTTACTTTTCCAATATTAAGATCTTTATAGATAGGTATAGATGACTGCCGTAGTGGTCGCAAGTGCTACTGCCGGGCAAGGAGTCTTGGGTTCGATTCCCGGGTTGGGCAAAGTACAAAAGTGTTTTTAAAAAAAAATCTTAGTAGTTGGAATTGTGCCCGGTGTATGGCAATAGGCTCACCCCCTATTACATGGGACTCATAATATAAATAGTGAAAAGTGGGTGTTATATTGTACAGTGGCATTAAGTGCCGTAATGTGCGCCTCTGCCTACCCCTTGGGGGATAAAAGGCGTGATGTTATGTTATGTATGTTATGTCATGTTAGATGCTACGTTGAAAATAATTACCAATGTGTTTTACAAAAAAAAAGACATAATAGACATATACATCACAGCCTCACAGAAACCAGCCATGACCCCTCTATACAACACACAAGTCTATACAAAATACTCTGCATTTATTTACCGGTAACGTCGAACATCGAAATCACTTGACGCCGCGCGCACAACGCGTCAGCATTTTATTAAATCTATGTGGTCGCATTGACAAACGAACCATAATAAATTAAATTATTCGCAATGGACAGTGCTCGTACTGAGAGAAGAAAACCACGGAAACTCATGAAAGTAGACGAAAGTCTATCTTCATCTGAATATGTGAGGAATAATAGGAAATACTGGAATGAAGTGTTTCATAAAATGGATACGTACCAACACACTGTCGTGAGTTAAGATTTTAAATATTGTTTTTATTTAAAAACTATGCTGACCCGGCAAACTTCTAATCACATGAATTTTTTTCTCACCTTTTTTACTCTCTCATGGACTTTCACAACCGTGGTGACGTCGACGACGGTTTCAAGACCAAAATTAGCGACAGAACCGATTGGGTTCAGCAATTCTCGAGTTTTAGCGTAACTAACAAATGGAAATTATTTTTTATTTATTTAGTATAATTATAACATTTCTATTTACTTTCTTGTGAGTTGCGGAAAAGTGTGTATGTGGTATAACTCCGTTACTCGTAAATGACTGTGTTTAATAATAAATATAATT